GGGTGGAGGAAGCTGACATGGGGGTGGGGGATGCCACAGGATGGGGGGTGGAGGGAAGCCAACAGGGGGAGGGGCAGTGGGGTCAGGGAGCCAAGGAGAAGCTGACTGATTGCCAAAGTCCAGGGTGGCTCTGACTTCATTTGGACTCAGGTTTAGGTTGGGTCTGGGCCAGTTACTACAGATTAAAACATAGAGTACATGGGGCATAAACTACATATTCAACTTCATCCAGAAGTTTAGAATAACCAGAGTTCAGCCGGGTGTGAAGAGACTTTCCATCCATATTCCCTGTGTCACCCAAGTCCTAATGAGGGTGGCCAAGAAGGGTTACTTTTCTATGCGAGGGATTCTAGTTTGTAGAACTAGTCTGTGGTTCCTCCTAATTGCAGATCACTACATAACCAGGATGTTGTTGTTTTGTTTTTGAGCATTTCTAAATGGAAACAGAGTACTCCAGAGCCATGGGAAATTCCATGGCATTCAGCTGTGTGTTAGGGATCACTTCTGTCTTTAGTGATACCACTGAGGCAGTCATTACCTCTCTAGTAAGAGTTTCCTGAGTCTCGTGGCTTCTGTCAGCCATGATGATTACACTTTTCACTGAAGAGACCTCTATTGCTTGGCTGTAGGGTCAACATGCTCTCTGCTGGATTTTCTCCTATTTCATCAGCTGTTTCCGTTCAGTCTCCTTTTTGGCTTTTCTTCATCACACTGACCTTTATGTGTAGAGTCCTCAGAGCTCAATCACTGTGCTAATTTTTCTTTTTCTTTTTTTTTTCTTTTGAGTCAGAGTCTCACTCTGTCACCCAGGCTGTAGTGCTGCGGCATGATCATGGCTCACTGCAGCCTTGACCTCCTGGGCTTAGGAGATCTTCCTGCCTCAGCCTCCTGTGTAGCTGGTACTACAGGTGCATGCCACCACACTCAGCTATTTTTTTTTTTTGTAGAGATAAGGTTTCACTTTGTTGCCAAGGCTGGTCTCAAACTTCTGGGCTCAAGCTCCCACCTTGGCCTCCCAAAATGTTGGGATCACAGGCACGAGCCACCACACCCAGCCTAGTTTTCCTTCTGTGTACCTTCTCCTTCATGTAAAACATCTAGTCCTCTGGCTTTGCTGCAAATGACATCTCCATGGTCTGCATGTCTGAATGCTTGTCTGATTTTCCCACGTGGATGTTTGATAAGCCTCCCAAACATCACATGTCCAAATCCACACCAGTGATATTCCTTTATGTAAAACCTGCTTCTTTCCCATCTCAGTCAAGCAACTGATATTCCTCTTGCTCAGGCCAAGAAATCTTCAATGCTGTCTTCGATGATGTTTCCTTTTCTTATACCCACATCCAGCCCGTTGGTGTGTCCAGTCAGCTCTGCCTTCACAGTTTGCCACTCTCTGACCATATTTACCCAGTTCCATGGCTCCAGTCCTGGCTCAAGCCACCATCATCTGGCATCTAGGCTGTCATGTGGCATCCTGACAGGTCACCTTGCCTCTGTTATCTCTACCATGATGAACAAAGGGTGCAGCCAAACATGAGCCAGATCACATCACTCCAGCCCATACCTCCAACTACTTCCTGTCACTTTCAAAGTAAGAGCTACAGACTCATGGGACACCTATGAAGCACAGAATCAGGCTCTACTGCCTCTGAGGACTTGCTTTCTCTTAGTCCTCATTCATTCTGCTTATGTCACAGTACTCCCCTTGCTGACTTGCCAAAGCATTGCCATTTCTGGACTTTTACACTTGCTGATTCTCTGCCTAGAACTCTTTCCCCTTTGATATTCATGTGTCTTGTCCCCATGCATCCCTATACTCTGCATAATGGGTATCTTCTTTTTTTTTTTTGAGTCAGAGTCTCACTCTGTTACCCACAATGGAATGAAGTGACATGATCCCAGCTCACTGCAACCTCGATCTCCTGGGACCAGGCTTTCCTTCCTCCTCAACCTCCTGAGTAGTTGGGACTACAAGTGCACACACCGTCATGCCTGGCTAATTTTTTGATTTTTTTTTTTTGTAGAGACGAAGCCTTGTTATGTTTCCCAGGCTGGTCTCGAACTCCTGGCCTCAAGCAGTCCTCCCACGTTGGCCTCCCAAAATGCATGCTGGGATCACAGCTAGATGGTCTTCTTCTTTGCGAGGTGGCCTTTGACCCCCTTCCTGACAACAGTACCCACGTGCCCTTTCCTGTCCTCTCATTTTCCTTGATAGTGTAGCTAACTATCTTACTGGCTGTGTCAATTTGTGTGAGTTTATTATCTATATCTTCCCCCTAGAATATCAATGCTTTTAGTCCAGGAATTTCTGCCCATGTCCATGACCTCAAGGTTGAGAACCTGCTAGAATACAGGCTTGAATAATGAGAGTTTGGGTCAGTGTTGCATCCTTGTGGAACACACCAACATTCCCAGAGCTCAGAGAAAGGGAGGGATTGGTCAGGCTGAAGTTGGGGACATTGCCATATGTGGGGTCACTGATTTAGCCCTGGGGGACGCTCAGGACCCAGCCAGGGAGACAGGCTCAAAACTGACGGAAGAATCCAGGGATACAATCAACTTGTTTCAGTTCAGGCTGCCATAGCAAGATACTCTGGATTGGGTGACTTAAACAGCAGGAACCTATGTTTTAAGTTCTGGAGGCTGGGAAGTCCAAGATCAAGGTTCTGGCTAATTTGGTTGCTGGTAAAGGCCCTTTTCCTGATTTGCAAATGGTTACCTTCTTGCCATGTGCTAAGATGGGGGAGAGGGGAGAGAGATGGAGAGGGAGAGGAAGGGAGAAGGGAAGAAAGGGAGGAAAAGGAGAGAAAGGGAGGGGGAAAGAGAGGGAGAGGGAGACCGAGAGGGAGAGAAAGAAGGAGAGAGCGGGAGAGAGGAAAGGAGAGAGAGGGAGGGAGGAGAGGAGAGAGGGAGGAAGAAGGAATAGGAAAGGGAAAGAGAGACAGAGAGGGAGAGGGACTGAGAGCGAGTGGGAGAGAACTTGCTCTCTAGTATCTCCTGAAGGCATTACTTCCATCGTGAGGGCCCACTCTCATCACTGCATCTGCTTTATCTTAACTGCCTCTCAAAGGCCCCATCTCCAAATACCAGCACATTAGGGACTAGGGCTTCAACATAGGAATTTTAAAGAAAGACAGACATTCATTGCGTAACCAAATCAGGATTCTTAGAATGGTGCAGGACAAGTAGTCTGATTCCTTAGTTAAGCTGCAAGAGAATCTTTGATAAAGAAGAGGAAGAACTTATGTCAAACAAGACTTAGGCACAACATGCAGTTGCAATGTGTAGATTTTATAGGGCTCCTGATTAAGTAAAAATAATGTAAATAATTTATAAGACTATTGAGAACATTCAAAAACTGGCTGGACTTGTGATGGCATTAAGAAATTATTGTTAAATGTTTTTGGTGAGCTAGTGATGTTGTTGTTATGTTTTATTTACTTTTTATTGTTTTGAGTCAGAGTCTCACTCTGTTGCCCAGGCTGGAGTGCAGTAGCACGCTCGCGGCCACTGCAGCCTCGACCTCCTGGGCTCAGGTGATCCTTCTGCCTCAGCCTTCCAATTACTGGAATTACAGGCATGCACCACCATGCCTGGCTAATTTTTTAATTTATTGTAGAGATGAGGTCTCACCAAGTTGCCCAGTCTGGTCTCGAACCCCTGAGCTCAGGCAATTCTCTTGCCTCAGCCTCCCAATGTATTGGGATTACAGACTTGAGCCACCGCACCTGGCCTAGTTATGTTTTAAAAAGCCTTCTTCATACATTATCTGTATGAAATATCTATAGATACATGAAACACTGTGTTTAAAATAGTCCATGGATGTAAGGAGTGGGTGGGCGTTGGTTGAGACAGAGTTGGCCAGAAGCTGTTGTAGTTGCTGAACTTGGGTGATGGACACAGGGGATTCATTCATTATGCCATTCTCTTTACTAATATGTGTGTTTAACATTTTCCCAATGTGAAGATTAAAAATGTAGCAGAAACTGCATTGGGCCCAAAGCTCAGGATTTTAGAGCTTAGAGATGTGTGGGGTTAAGGGAATTGAAGAAACAAGATTTTTAAGGCCAAAAACTCAGAGAGAGCTTCCCAGAGAGTACAATTCAAGACTTTCTATTTGCCTTTACAGGTTGTGTGAAATGTATTTCAACTATGAGACAAAACGTGCACTAGAAACACTTCAAGAAGAAAAGCCTGAGTTGACCATTGTATTTGAGCCCTCTTGGTAGGATGGAATCAGGGCTTCCAGATGCTGGGGATCTCTGGTCCCAATGTCCAGGTGTCCTCGAGTGGAAGGAGCCCTCATCCACCCAGGGTCAAGGTCACAGTTCTGTGAATCTTCTGGGATTATGTCAGAGGATGATGCTGCCTTTTGGTAGTGAACTTGAGCTCCTCTTGATACCTGGGTGAAGACACCAAGACAATGAGCCATCCAGATGGTGGTGTTCTCATGTGGCCTCCGTTGGAGGATGTCCTCTTGGTGACCTCCTGTCACAAACTCATTCAGTGAAACACGTTTCTGACTTTCTCTTCTCTTCTTTCTCTAACTCTCCTTTCCCCGTCATTTTTTCTTCTTTGTTCTGTTTACTTTTGCTCACATCATAATTCCTGCTATCTTTCTTTTTCTTGCTATCTTTCTATTAACTGACCACGACACAGAACTTGTGGACTGGATATTATGATGCAATTTTTGTGGCAGCTACTTATTTATTTATAGTTTTTTGATGTTCTGTTTTTGAATAAGAGTAATTCATGCTTATTGTAGCTGGGTGGAAGTTCAAAAATATGTAAAACTTTTTGTATTTATTGGGTTAAATTGTTTTCTTAATTTTAAAAAAGAGTGCCTAGAAATCTTTTAAATTATTGATTGAACTACTAAAGGTAAATTCAACTGCTTTATGTGTTTTAAAAATCTCTTTGCTAAATGATTCAATTGTAGATAATTTTTTTTTGGAGTTGGAGTCTTACTCTGTGTCCAGGCTGGAGTGCAGTGTTGCACTCATGGCCACTGCAGCCTCAACCTGCTGGGCTCAGGCAATCCTTCTGCCTCAGTCTTCCAAGTAGCTGGAATTATAGGTGCACGCTACCATGCCCGGCTAAGTTTTTGATTTATTGTAATGATGAGGTCTCACCAAGTTGCCCAGGCTGGTCTTGAACCTCTGGACTCAGGCAATCCTCTTGCCTCAACCTCCCAAAGTGCTGAGATTGTAGACTTGAGCCATTGCACCAGGCCTCAATTGTAGATAGTTTTTAAAAATTACCTTAGTCTACTTCTGATGAGTGGAATTTCAGCTCTGGTAGGAAAGGAGGGTGAAGGTTTTAGAGTGGTGCAGCTCTACTAAGAAACAGGAGTATTAAGTAGAAAATGCATTTTGTCTTCCATTGATAACAACTTATTTTGGATTTATCCCATCTGAGGAACAGTTCATCTACTATGCCTCAGAGAGCATTACATCATAAATAAATATTGATTAATTGCTTCTTTAGACATGGACAACTCTTGAACCACATAAACTTGCCTAGGATGTAGCTATGTCTTCCTCTGCACGATGAGCCATCCAAACCCTGTCACTCCAAGTGTGGCCTGAATTGTTCTTGCAAGGAGTTTGTGCAAGGATGCAAATCAATTGCATTACTAAACATGTGTTTTAGATAAGCTGACATTTTTTTGAACACATAAGACTATTTATAAGGGAAACTATGAGATTTTCATTCTGGTACAAACTTTGTCTTGTCTAGCACCTCTGAGCAGTACTGATTTGGATATTTGCTTTCTGCATGTTGTTGAAGAGAACTATCACAGCTACCTCCCTGCTGCACACTCTGACATGCTGGATAAATCATGTAATTAAAAACACAAAGGTGAGTTTTAAAGAGAGCAAGATAATCTCTGGGCACTAGAAACTTAAAACTGACTTGATAAATTTAAGAGTTTAGTCCTAATTGGGAAACTGCCAGGGGAGGGAGAGGCATACCTCATCAACAAGGGTACTTGCATAATGAGCATTTGTATACCAAACCCTGAGTAGTACCCCACATCTTTAAAATAAAAATAACACCCATAATAATAAAAAGTAAAATGGGGGCATTCTTGCTGAAAGAAGGAATATTTTCTAGACAGCAAATACAACAAATGTCTACTCTTCTCTGCTTGGTATGGCTTTCTTTACCTTTTCTTCCTGATGAATTTCTATTTATCTCCTAAGTCCACTGCTCCTTCCCAACCTCTCCAACTTTTAGCGAGTGATTTAGCCTCATACCTCATTGGAAAGATAGAAATCATCATATGAGTTGCTTTAGTCTGTTTATGTTGCTATAAAGGAATACCTGAAGCTGAGTAATTTGTAAATGAAAGAGGTTTATTTGGCAAAGAAAAGAGTTTAGCCCTCAGTGGCTCAGAGGAATATATTAATGGATAAATAAACCACAATGTGACTATTTATTTGAAAAAATTCATGAGGTGTTCCACATTATTAGAACTAAAAATGAGTGAAGTTGCTGGACATAAATCTAAATCTACAAACATCACAGCATGTTGTTGGAAAAAAAAAATCATTGTTTTCAACCACCATAGTAAAGACTGGATCAGGCATGAAGCATCAGTGGATGCTAAAGAAATCTAAAAGGATGTTTTATAAGGTAGAGAATATTTGTGCAGGCTGGAAGTATCTCTCCATAGATGGCTAATGAGTTACAAAAGATACATAGTAACTATATGCAGTACAGGAATTGGATGATACCTTGTTCATGTAATAAAAAATAACATCAACAAAGGCAGATGGACATTTACTTTCAGGAAGATACCTTGAGAAGGAACCAGTGTCACCTGTGAAGGACATTGGATGAGAATGTGTGCCCAGAACTGAATCATCAGGACACATTAGACAAACTGCAAAGAAGTAGTTCTACTGAAAAGGGGAGGAGGACTGTATGCTTCAGGAATGTTGATGCTAGTGTCAACGGTGGATACATTTGATGGGCATCATGGGAGTATTCTTTATATTCTTACTCTTGCAACATTTCTGTACATACCATTATTTCCACATGAAAAGTTAAAAATTAAAACAATAGCATACTTAAGTGCCCGCAATTTAAAATGTAAAAAAATCCCATTAATCATACCAGTAAAAATGATCAGGTATCTGGAATAAATCCATCAAAAATAGTGTAAAAATCATACAAAAGAATACCTAAATAAACGGAGAGATACATTATGCCCATGGATGGGAAGATTCAATAGCGTGACAATGCCAGTTCCCCCAACAATGAACTCGAATTCAGTGCAACGGAAGTGAATATGCTAACAGGAAATTGCATGGGTCTGAGCAAAATAAATACTTTTAAAACTACTTTACTGAGGTATGATTGAGATACAAAAAGCTGTACACATAGCCAATGTATACAACTTGATGAGTTTGATCATCACCACAATCAAGGCTGTGCACTCACCCATCACCTCCAAAAGTTTCCTCCTGCCCCTTTCATTTATCAATATACTCTTTAGCTTGTAATAAGATCTATCTTCTTAGCAAACTTCTGTGTATACAATACAGTATTGTTAACTGTAGGCCTTGTGAGTTCTACAATTAAGTTCGTGAACTTGCCATCGTGCACTTATATTGGCAACACTGTGCAAATAACTTGGTAAGGTTTCATACCCTTGGTATATCAGTGTCTCACAGTTGTGTTTCTGTTGATGTGTGGTAGCATATTGCTGAGTGATGTTCATTATTGTTGTGTGTTTTTGTGTGCCATCATGAGAATGTTGGAGCTTGAATTAGAGCAACAAACAAACATTAAATTTCATGTTAAACTTCATAAGAGTGGAAGTGAAATCAGGGACATGTTAGTCCAAGTTTATGGCGATAATGCCATGAAGAAAACAGCAGTATGCCAATGGATTAAATGTTTTTCTCAGGGGAGAGAAATCATCACTGATGAAGAAAAGTTAGGATGGCCCTGATAAACAAGCAGAACTGATGAAAACATTGCAAAAATTCATCAAATTTTGTGTCAAAATTATTGGCTGACTGTGAGAAGCGTAGCAGACCAAATAAGCATCAATAGAGAAACAATGTAAAAAAATTTTTTTTTTTCTCTTTTTTTTTTTTTTTGAGTTGGAGTCTCATTCTGTCGCCCAGGCTGGAGTGCAGTGGCACGCTCATGGCCACCCCCAGCATCTACCTGTTGACCTCTGGCGATCCTTCTGCCTCAGCCTTCCAAGTAGCTAGAACTACCATGCCCGGCTAATTTTTGATTTATTGTGGAGATGAAGTCTCATCAAGTTGCCCGGGCTGGTCTCGAACTCATGGACTCAGGCAATCCATTCACCTCAGCATCCCAAAGTGCTGGAATTATAGGCTGAGCCACCAAGCCTGACCTAAAAAAATCTTAACTGAAAATCTTGGCACGAGAAAGGAATGTACAAAAATGGTCCCAAAGGAGCTCTTGCATCACGATGATGCACCAGCTCACACAGCACTGTCTATGAGGGAGTTTTTAGCCAGTAAGCTAGCAACTATATTGGAACACCCTCTCTGCTCAGCCGATCTGGCCCCAAATGACTTTTTTCTTTACCTGAAGATAAAGGAGATATTGAAAGGAAGACATTTTGATGGCATTCAGGACATCAAGGGTAACGTGATGACACTTTGATAGCCAGTCCAGAAAAAGTTCCAAAGTTGTTTTGATGGGTGGCCTAGGCACTGGCATCACAGCACAATTTCTCAAAGGAAGTACTTTGAAGGTGATCATGTTGATATTCAGCAGTGAGGTATGGAGCACTTTTTCAAGGATGAGTTTGTGAACTAAATTGGCAGACCTCATTTGTTGTCCAGTAGATCTTCAGAATGTTCTCATCTTGCATAACTGAAGCTTTGTCCATGTTGAGTGATGATACCTCTCCACATCTCCCTCCGGCCAGTCCTCGATAACCACGATTCTACTGTCTGGTTCTATGAGTCTGAGTATTTTAGATACCACATATAAGTGAAATTATACAGTATTTGTCTTTCTGTGCCTGACTTATTTTACTTAGCATAATGTCCTCCAAATTTATCCACATTGCTGTAAAGGGCAGGATTTCCTTCTTTGCGAAGGCTGACTAATACTCATTTGCATGGATATGTCACTTTTTCTTTTTCTTTTTTTTTTTTTTTGTTGGAGTCTCACTCTGTCACCCAGACTGGAGTGCAGTGGCCACTCCCGGCCACTGCAGCCTCGACCTGCT